GGGAGGGAGACACAGGAATGGAGAGGGAGTCCTGGGGGGACACACAGCTGGGTGCCATACAGAGCTGCCTGGGGAGGGAGACACAGGAATGGAGAAGGAGTCCTGGGGAACAGAGAGCAGGAGGCCCAGAATGCAGAGGGAACTGAATCCCTGTGGGAAGACGCTGTTGATTGCATCACAATTTTCCAGAACACGTGTATGTGATGACAGGACGTGGGAGCTACGCACTGGTCCCCCCACAATCAGACAAACTCATCAGTGGTGAGAACATTAAGGCAGCCCGAGGGTTCTCTGAGCTGTGGCCTGTGATGCCGTCTATCTCCCACGAGATAAGAGGAGGGAAGCCAGCTGAGAGGGGCCCTCAGAGCGACCAGGAGAGAATGGCCAGGAGTGTAGTGCAGCTGCTAGGTCTCCGGTCCCCGCGCTGGGATGCTCGTCCACACCCAGGAAGGTCAGGCCACAGGGTGACCTCTAAGGAATGCTGGGGATACAGACACTGGTCCCTTATTATACCAAAGTGTTGCAAAAAGATTAAGGGTGGAACACAAAACTCTTTACCCTATCACAGCTCTGACCAGTGTTAGCCCTCAATGAACAGGGAGGTTTAGGGGCGTGGCCTATAAGATCTTTTCCCCCATGGGAGGTGAAAGGAGAAAGGAAGAAAGCAGGGATGGGGGCCTCAGAGAACGAAGACGGGAAGTAAGGGAAGTCCTTTGAACACCAGTCCTTGTGCTGGGAAGTTTCTCAACACCGGGAAAGACCAACACAGATCACCAAGGAATGTCAGGACCAAAGGTGCTGAAGGAAACCAGGCCTTTTCTCCAGAACCGACAGAGAAAGACGGCCTTCCCCCAGAGCCGGCACCTGACTGGACTTCTGATCGCAGATACCACTGTGGAGTTCCTCACCTCACAGCTCCCATAACTTTCCTTCCTGAGTGACAGAGGACTACAGCCACTCCCACGTAGCTTCTCTTGGGCAGAACTTTGGCCTTGGGTTTGTAGGTGACGTGGACTCCATGGTGAAGCCAAACCCAAGCCCATACTGTCCAGTGATTCTGATCCCCGGTGACCCTCCACTGAGTCTCTGAAACGGTCACTCTCTTGGAAGGAAGCTGCCTCATTTTCTCCCTGGGAGAGGCAGTCGGATTCGAACTGTCAAGCTCCTGGTTAGCAGTCCAATGCTTACTGGTGATGGCACCAGGGCTCCTTCAACAGGGAAGGCAACACTGACACTATCCCCCGTCATTGTTCTTACCCAGCTTCAAACCAGCCAGCTGTCAGTGTTTACTTGTTCTAATCACCAAAGACCTTCAATGAACCAAAGTAACACAGAACTAGAGATGATGAGTCTTGTCCCCGGGGACTTTAAAATCCAGGCAGGAAATTAGGAAACCGTCTCCAAGTGTTTTATCAGACAGAAATACTCATGCTCATTTCTTCTAACTTGATCCAGCCAGATAGAGAGCAAACTCATCTCGCTTGAAATTGAGAAGCTTATGGGACCGCATTTCAGAACACTTGTGCAAAGGCTGGACTCGCGCAAGGTCTGGGGACGAGGCCGCAACCTTTAAATAAGCCAAGTGCGTGAACAGATTCCAAGCCGTCTGCGTGGCTCGGTGGCCCTCTTTAACCTCAGAAAATCATAAATTGCTTTCTGAAAGCAGAGCTGTGATTTCCCTCTTAGGTAGAGGCCAAATCTATAGCAACTTGTGTAAACACTCCCCACAAACAGAGTGGAACGCAGCTGAAGAAGGTGGTCTCCTGGTGACGGAATGTCAAGTCTAATTCACACACAACCAGGAGTCCAGGCCAGGCTGGACCCCGTAAAGGACCCTGGGGAAGGCAGGCTAAGCTGAGCAGCCACTGTGGAGGTCACTCCACCGGGCATGGAGGATCTGAGAGTTAGGGGTCAGCAGGAGGTGGCCCTTGTTCACCTAGTAAAGAAAACAAAGAGGCACCAAGACTGGGAAAGAAATGCCTCAGAAGCATAAAAGAAAGCGGTCACTCCAGTCAAATCCAGACACTATGCTCCTGTTCCGGAGAAACCTGGGACTTGATCTCCTCAGTGGGATCGCCAGTCCTGGAGAAGAGTGCATTGCGAGAAGAGTCAAGACACTGGTCAAGCCAGGAGTAGCCTGTGTCTCACAAGGACTAGTATACAGACGGTCACTCGAGCAGCTGACGCCCAAGGACACAAGGAAGAGCCAGGCTGCACTGCAGGCGAGGACAGTGGGGTGGCTCAGCCTGTCTCAGCACTGTTTCGAGGGACAGACAGCAGAGCACACTTCAAAGACAGTGAATCAAAAGGTCCATCAAGTGCACCAAGGAACGAAAATGCCTGTGCGCTCAGGGCAAGCCAGGGGGACGCAGCGTGGTACTCACGTGAAGACAGCGTGCTCCCAGCATCTCAGCTCCCTCTGCTCCTCGGCTGAGGCCCTCAGCACGTCCTCCTGCAGCCTTGGCCGCACACACTGGCCCACACCCCGGGCCCACTCCTCGGCCTCCAGCTGCTCAGCCCGGGCGGTCATCTCCCTGCCGTGTTCCTCCAGGATCTGCTGCACGAAGAGCCAGGGCGCACTGCACTTGAGCAGCTCCTGTGTCATCCCCGAGCTCTGCAGGCGCCGCAGCTCCTCCGTGGCTTTCTCGGTCAGCGCGAGGGTCAGCGCCCGGAGGTCGTCCAGGGCGGCCTGGTCCAGCCGCTCCTGCAGCTCCTCCAGGGCCGCACTGTGCTCAGCCATCACGCTCCGCCACTGGCCTAGGTACTGACCCACGTCCTCTGAGGCTCGGAAGGCCTCCCCGACGGCCAGCTGCTCCCGCCGCTGCTCCTTGTGCTGGGAAAGGCCAGAAAAGCATTATACAAGGAAAAGGGGAAAGAGGACAGGATTCAGTGGAGTCAACTCTTTGGAGAACCAGTGGCACCCAAGATTGATACACTTTCCCCCAACCATCTTACATCCTGAGGAAATCACCCCAAATATAGCAAAGACTCACAAACTGCATGCTCACCAGACACAAATCTGCTGTCAAGGACCTCTCCAAAGTGCTAATGAGCAATGGTGTCCATTTAAAGACTAAGGTGCACCTGATCCAAGTCATGGTGTTTTCAGTTGCCTCCCATGCACTTAAAAGTTGACTAAGGATCACAGAAGAAGAATCAATGTCTATGAGTTGTTGTGCTGGAGAGGAGTATTAGATATTAAATGGACTACCAAGAGAACAAACACGTCTGTCTTGGAGAAAGTACACCCAGGTGCTCTGTAGAAGCAAGGATGGTGAAACTTGATCTCACATACATAGGGCATGTTTTTAGAAGGGGCCAGTCCTTGGAAAAAGGCATCATGCTGAGAAAGATAGAGAGATGGAGAAAGAGAGAAGGATCCTCCACGAGGTGAGCTGACAGTGACGGGAACAACGGGCGGATGAGAGACGGTGAGGATGGCATTGGACAGGACAAGCTTCAACTCTGCTATGAGTCATACTCAACTTGACGGCTCCTACCAACCACAGCCAATGAAGCTCAGGAGTCAGCCTCCGTTTATAATCCGGATGACCCAAAGTGAGTTTCTCATCCTCTTTATGCATCCAGCTATAGAAATGTAATGATAGCAGGGCTCAAGGGACAGAGGAGCTCTGAGAGGTGTAAGTGGCCAGACACATGTCCACATGTTCCTGGGTGGTGCAAAAATCTGTGGTGGGCTGGTAACCAAAAGGATAGCTGTCCAATCCTATCTAGCAGGCCTGGAAGAAAAGCCCTATAAGATTGCTTCTATAAAGATGTCAACCAAGAAAACTCTATGATGCCGGTCTACTCTATAACATGTGGCTGGTATGAGTAGAAATCAACTTGATGAACCAAAACAACAATATGATGACTCTTAGAAAAATGCCTGGTGAAACTGAGAAAAATTGGATAAATTATGTATACTGCATTGAAACAGATGAGGGAGAGAACAGTTTAAAAGTGATATATGATTGGGTATTATGGTCATGACAGGAGTCCAGAATGAAGGCTGCATAGTGGAGTGTACTCGGGTGGGGTGTTGGGGGGACAGGGAATTGTATACCAATGAAAGAATTTTTCTTTAACTTTCCAAAGAGAAGAGTGAATGGAGTGGAGGGCCGGGAGAAAAATGCAACAATGAATGAATGGAAATCCAAAATCTCTGTAAACATTCATTAAAATTAATAAAATAAAATTTAAAACAAGAAAAATGCCTGGGGCACAGGCTTTGACTCACTTTGGACACATCATCAAGAAAGACTGATTACTAGAAAAGAACATCAAAGTTGGTAAAGTGAAAATATCAGCAGGAGTGAAGTAATCCTTCAGTGAGATGGGTTGACAGCACAGCCACACTCCCTTATACCACTGACAGTAAAGAGGGCAGTGGACCAGTTATGTTTCATTCTGTGACACAGAAGGTCACTGTGGTGCAACAGCTGCCTCAACTGCAGACTCGTGGTCCACTGTTGATCATCGTCTTCTATATCATCAACAGCTGTGGGGTTGACATAAGATGAAGAGCTGCCAGACTGTGGAGAGAATGTGGTAGCCTGATGGAGCCATAGATACAGAGCTAGAATTACAGGTTCTGCTTTCTGGACAATTGAAGGAAGTGCAGACTTGTGACGGCTGTGATACAAAGCTTGTGGCCCTGGACTGAACCTGGACTTTCACTTGTTGGCTGAGAAGCTGTCTGAACTAACTGAGAAATTGTATCTTGTTAGATTGTTAAACTGTATCTTGAAAAGAAGAAAGTTTTGCGTTCAAGACTTTCATTCATAGAGTTGCTATGGGTTGTCTACGGACTCTATAGCACTTAACAACAACAACATTGTCCAATATTAACAAACCTCTAAACACTTCAGATTATAACATTGTATCACCTACCTTTACAACAACAGCATAGGGAGAGCTCAGTTGGCCTAGTGGACAGAAAGTGATGCTACCAAGCCAAAGGTGGGTGACTTTAATCCACAACCCTCAGGCCTGGTTTTGATTGTTTTTGGTCTAACATTCTTCTAGGTTGTATAGCACTGCTCTGTCCATTTGCTGTACAGAAGTAACTCATGGTCACTGTGATGCTGAACACTGTGACACTGATGTATCAAAAGCGATAATGGTTACCCAAGGCGGACAGTGTTTGGTGGAGCTCCCCAGTTGAAACAAGCTTGGAAGCAGGAGTGGCATCTACTTCTGAAATAGCTTGCCTCTGGAAACCCTATGAACTTGGAGAAACAATGAAAGTTATACAAGTGTTCAGGTCTTTCATTCATAGGGTCACTATGAGTTGTCTACAACTCGACAGCATTTATCAAGAAGAAGAAGATATGCACAACGCTGTCGGTCACCGTGTTATTTCTAGTAATGGGCCCACGGATAGACTGTGGGTTCTCCCTTCAATAACAGGATGGTCTTCCTTTTGCTCAGGATGCCTAGTGACCAGTGTCAATCCCTTTCTTTAATAATTCATTCTACAAATATGTAGTCTTCTTCTTTTCTTAAAATTGAACCAATAGTTCTTCCTGTTGTTAGTAGATGCTGCTGGGTCACTCATAGTGACCCCATGGACCACAGATCACAATCTCGCCCTAGCCTGTGACATTCCCACCATCTCTGTCATGCTCACGCCCACACAGTGGCCGGCATGTGTCAATGCGTCTTACTAAGGGGCTTCGTCTCTCCCTGACCCTCTATTATTCAAGCACGACGTCTTTTTCCAAGGACTGGTGTCTCCTGATAACACGCCCAAAGTATGTGAGATATTCCCAGCAGAGCGGATCACATAACTATCTGATGCAAAACGGCGACTCTCAATCCTTCTCACGGCTCTCCGATACCGAGGATGTGGACCTTTATATCTCCCATTTCATTTTTGGCAAGTTTTAATTTTCCAAAACTCATTCTTTATATATTCCATGTCCCAATTATTAATGGATGTTTGCAGTTGTTTCACCTCATTTTGAGTCTTATCGCATCAGAAAAGGAAGGTTCTTCCGTGAGGGAAACCTTGACTCCATCCACATCATTAAGGCAGAGTCTACTTTGAGGCAGCAACGCTTCCCCAGTCGTATTTTGAGCACCTTCCAAGCTGAAGGGCTTGTCTCCAGACCCTGTGTCAGACAGTGTTCCACAGCCATTCATAGGGTTCCAAACACCTGTCACTTCAGAAGCAGATGGCCAGTCCTGCTTCTCGGTCTGTCTGAGTCTGGGAGCTCTGCTGAAACTTGTCCTCTGTGGGGGACCCTGTTGGTATTTGCAACACTAGTCACTTAGATTCCAGCATCACAGTAATACACAAGTCATCACCTCAAGACAGACAGACCAGCAAGTGGTGGGGTATGTCTTGAGAAGCACTGAGGATTTATCAAGGACGTGGCCCCATGTCAAGACTGGGGCTGTCAGGGGACCAATCCAGCTGCAATGCGGGGAGAAGTGTGAACTTCTGAGCAGATAGCTGATGCCCATTTGAACCTGGCCAGGGACGCCTGGAGATGAGTTGACCAGAACTCAACCAGATAAGCATGACTCGTGCTTGGAGCTCAGGTCAATTCCTGCAACGTGATATCTCGCTCTGGACTGGACTTCGCTTGTGGATGCAATTGCTCAGTTTCCAAGCTGAACAGAGGATTCTTCAACAAAAGGTGCATGCTTGCTGTTGCTGTTATGTGCTGTCGATTCATCTGAGACTCATAGTGACTCCATGTACAACAGCTCTGAAGCCTGTCCTCTCCTGAGCCAGCCTCACTGACTACGACACACTGACCCCATCACCTCAATCACCGTATCAGTCCGATCTTCTGGGAGCTTCCTCTCCTGTGCTGTCCCTCCTCCTTTTTGACCCTGAAGTCCTTCTCCATGGACAGGTCACTCCTGACCACATGCCCACAGTATGTGAGATGGAGCTTCAAAACCTTTGCCTCCAAGGAGAAACTTGGTTTCACCCTCTCCAAGACAGAACAGGATAGGGATGGGCAATTCAGCAATTGGCTACCTAAAGGGGAATATGAGGGCATGAGGCATGAAGTAGCCGGCTTACACACTTTCATGAGTGCAGTTATTGATGAGATGATTGTCAAAGGGAAAAAACTGGCAATTATACATGAATGAGATAGATTGCAAAGGAAAGATTGCATAAAACTCAATGTACATGCATGAAACACAATGTATAAGAATGGTGAAAACATTAATAAAGTAAAAACATAAAAGGAGTGTGTCATGGAAGCCAGTGGCATAGTTTGGTAGGTGGGGGGTGGTTGGTTACATAACCAGAGGGCAGGAGTCTGGATCCGCCGGGGACTCCAGCACGAGGAAGACGGGAGCTCTCCGTCCGCAAAGATGCACAGGCCCAGAAACGCTGCGCGAGGTCCTTATGAGCCAGACCACGTTGACAGCAGTGGGCAGTGGAGGAGGACTGACTCTTTTTTTTTAAAATTTTAATGAACATTTACAGAGACGTAGGGTTTCCAGTCATTCATTGTTGCACTTTTCTGCTTGCCCATCCCATCCCCTCCCTTTCAATTCCCTCTTCTCCTTGAAAAGAAAAAGAAAAATTCTTTCATTGCTATGCAATCCCTCCCCCCCGCCCCAAGTCTACTCCACTATGCAGCCTTCACTCTGGACTTCTGTCATGACAAGAATACCCATTCATATGTCCCTTTTAAACAGTTCTCTCCCTCATCTGTTTCCATGGAGTATACATCATTCCTCCCCTCCTTTTCTGTCTTTCCTCAAGCCTGATGTCAGTCCCATTTTACAACATTGGCCCTATGCAATATTTGTCCTTTTGTGACAGATATTTCACTCAGAGGACTGATTTTTTTACACAAACACCATGCACATTATTTCTATCCATACACACCTTGCATGCTAGTTTCCTACGCATGCTGCATGCATCCCATGCTTGTGCACAGGTCACACACATGCATCACATGCTGAAAGCCAAGTCCTTGTCTCCATCAAGCTCCACCCTCACTCTGTGCTGCTCATGACAGCCATCATGGCAGCACCCCCAAGGAATTCTCCTCTGGCCGGTTGTCAGAATCTCCTGTGAGAGCTGCAGTCCAGCCGTCCTACACACTGTCCCCTGGATGACAGCAGCTCATCACAGATATGTGGGCCTGGACCCCACGGTTCTGGTCTTTTCACCAATGGTACAAGGATGCCCAAGTCCAATTGGGGATCAGATGTGCATCACGGTTTTCTGCTGGCCCCACAAATGAGTAACACCAATCAGTGTATGTGTCAATCCTCCTGGCTGGGGGGGATTGGACCTTAAGAATCCTGATGCAGCATCATAAAAAGTCACTACCAATTACGCGCAGATGCCTCCACAATGTCTGTCCAGCCACCTTTCAGTCCTAGCTTTCTTTTATTTATTATTATTATTATTATTATTATTATTATTAGTGCATGTACCATCAAATCAGATCTGACTGGTACAGGAGGAAATTGTCCCTCCTTCTCTGGCAGAGCATCTGGTGGATTTGAACCGTGTACCTCTGGGATTGCAGTACAGCTTCTTGCCACTAGGCCACCAGAGCTCCCCAGTCCTAGCTTTCTGATGGCTCAAATGCCTGGCATGGGACCTGCCACTTGGTGGGCATTCAGTTACAACTTCGGCAAGAACCAATGGTGGAATGCCTTACGTACCTTTTGCTGTATTTCTCGTCTTCTCTTAGTTATCAGTTTCTGACGGAGCCTTTTCTTCTCCTGCTTTAAGTGGTTGTCTAGCTTCTGCTTCACTGAAAAGACCTCCGTCTGCGCGCGCGCCAGTAACACCTCCATCTGGTCTTCATCCAGGTACCCGGCTCTGGATGAAAAAGACAGAGAGTCGGCGCACTCCCCCAACTCACCCGGTGCTTGGCTGCCGTGTTTGGGCCATCAGCTCCGCACTGGCACTTCACGGAAAAGCCTTTATTCTCAAGAAGCAGGAGGGAGGGAGGGGGAAAGACCCAGTGAGAAAAACAATGTATACAAACTTTATGAACTTTGTAAGTAAACCAGTATAAAATGTAAAAATCATTTTAAATAAAGAAGAAACAGGAGATCCAGTGTTGAGACTGCACCAAAATAAAGCAGAGAGAGGTCAGTGTCTCCAAAGGCGGGTTGAGAAAGCCCCAGAGAGCGAGAGGAGGCACCTGGTGGGGGAGCAGGGCCAATTTAGGGCAGGTAGTAACTGTTGTGTTCAATTATGTCCCCAAAATAAGGGCTGAATTCCAAGCCCCAGAGCTGTGGACACGAGCCAGTTTGGAAAGGTTTTCCTTTGCTGTGTTGATGAGGTCATGCTGGAGTAGGGTGGGACGTAACACTAATGTCTTCTGAGTCACAAATAGCACCTCACACGCATGTGCACACATGTGCATGTGTACATACACACACACACACACACACACACACACACACACACACACGGGGACGAGAGATGTTATGCCCAATCTCGTCCACAGGCACAGTAACTAAAGGACAGCCTGTAGACCTCAGAAATTAGGAGAGAAATCAACAGAAAAATCAACACCTGATATTTTTTTCCACTGAACTTGTAGCCTCCACAATTTCAAGGAAATAAATGTCTGTTCTTTAAAGTGCCCCACTCGTGGGATTTCAGTGACGGAGAATCACCTTCCACCGCCGCTGTGGATCAGACAGAATCTTCCAAGAGGAGATGCTGGATGAAGAGTTCCTGGTGGCAAGGTCACCACCAAGAGCAGCCCAGAGACAAAGGTAAGGGACATGCCGTCGCTGCCACTGTGACCAGCGGACATTCCACCTTCCATCAGGAGCTCAAACACCCTCCCGAGGGGGCCAGTGCGTAACACCACGATGCACCGAAAACCAAAGATGTCAAGGATTTCATTCCATTTGGATCAACAAGGCCAACCAAAAGCGTGTCGAAGAGCAAGGATGTCACTTTGAGGACAAAGATGGGCCTGATCCTAGTGGTGAGGAGTTGTAAAGGTACATGGTTCAAATCCACCAGCTCCTCCTGTGCAGTTAACCGCCTATGAAAACTGGCTGGAGGGTCAGCTATGGGTCAGTTCAGACTCAACGGCACGCAACAACATAAGCGTAAGAAGGCTGGATAATGAATAAGCAAGGAATAAACAGGTTCATCCTAAAGAGGGTGAAACCAAGCTGCTCCTTTGAGGCAAGAATTCTAAAGCTCCATCTGACATACTTTGGACATGTTGCAAGGAGGGACCAGTCCTTGAGAGGGACGTCATGCTTGGGAGGGTGGAGGGACAGCAGAATAGAGGAAGACCCTGGATGAGATGGATTGACTCAGTGACTGGGGTAAAGGGAGGGGGAGGTGTCAGACAATGAGGTTGACTCAGGATAGAGCAGGGTTCAGACTGTTGTACATAGGGTCTCTATGAGGCGCAAGTGACTCAAAAGCACTTAACAACAATTGAGTGGTAGATACACACATCAGAAATTAAAGTCTGTACCAGCCTTTTAATATAAAGTGTTAATATGAAAGTCAAAGACTTCTCTTAGGTAACTGCTCACAACTGTACCAGCTGCCAGGCACTTCAGTTCAAAGCGAGGAAATGATCCTTTCACTCCGGTGGAAATTAATCAGGAATGTCAAGACAACTGCAGTGATAAATTCATTAGCATCTCTGGGTGGGAGCGTGTGCATAATTTGCACCTCACCGAACCCAAATTACACCAAGCAGGAGAGCTGCAGAATCCTGATAAAACTACCAAACAGCGCAGCGGTTCAGGAACCCACGAGCTCATAAGAAAGTCACCCTTAGCGTCTAGTCCCTGTGACTCTCAGAGCCGCCCCTCACCTAGAAAGAATACACTTCCCTACCGGCAACCGAGGTGCGGAGAAGGAAAGCTACAGGGGCAGGAAGTGCCCGCGTGTGAACTGTGTGTTAGTGCCGTGGGGCCTGGCCGCTCAGGACGTGGGTGTGAAGGGAAAACCAGGTAGAATCCAGACAAGCATCTGGGCATTCAGACGTAACCCCAGGCTGTGGGCTGGGGCCAAAGGGATGTGGACGCTCCTTAAACAAAAACAAAGACCAAATCCACAGCCATCATTTGATTCTAACTCCTTGCTGCTGTTATTGTTGTTGTTAGGTGTCATGAGTCATGTCTTACAACAACCCTGTTGTCGTTGTTACTGTTGTTGTTAGGTGTCATGAGTCAAGTCTCACTCACAACTTGTTGTCGTTACTGTTGTTACTGTTGTTGTTGTTGTCATCAGTCAAGTCTCACTCACAACTTGTCATTGTTGTTGTTGTTAGGTGTCATGAGTCATGTCTCACTCATAACAACCGTTGTTGTTGTTGTTGTTGTTGTTGTTAGGTGTCATCAAGTCAAGCCTCACTCACAACAACCTGCTGGTGGTGGTACTTTTGTTAGGTATCATCGAGTCAATTCTCACTCACAGCAACCCGTTGTTGTTGTTGTTGTTACTGTTGTTGTTAGGTGCCATCGAGTCAAGTCTCGCTCACAGCAACCCTACAAACAACAGATGGGAACTGCTTCCTCTCCTGTACCATCCTCACAATCCCCGCCATGGTCAAGGCCATTGCTGCAGTCACTGGGTCAACCCACCGCCCTGGAAGTCATCCTCTGTGACGGACTCTCCCCCTTCCCCAGCATGACGTAATCCTAAATGGGAGAGAACTGCCCCCCGAGGGCTGTCCCCGTTAGACCACGGCCACCCCATCCTCCTCACACAGCGCGGCCAGTGCGCTGAAGCCAACACCCTGTGTGAGGCGGGCAGCCTCACGGCTTTACCTCTCGTGCTTCTGGATGAGGCGGGTCAGCTGGGACGCGGCCATGCTCAGGAGGCCCTGGACGCGCACCTCCGCCGACTGCATCCTCTGGACCAGATACACCCTGTGGCCGAAACTCTTCCTCAGGTGAAACCGCTTCACGGCCTGGCAAAAGTCCATCATCTCTTCCACACGGTCCTGTTCACACAAACAGAGAGGCCTGAGGTTCAAACGGAACACGAGAGGTCAACGCCTGCACGCTTCCTCCTCCTTCTCCTGTCCGGAAATCACACCGAGAAAACCAGCTCAGCAACCTGAGCCCTTGTGGCTGTGTGTTGTCCAGTTGGCCCTGACTCACAACGGCCCCGTGTACAACAGAGAGAACCCTGCCCACTCCAACGCCATCCTCACCAGCACAAAGGAGTATAAGAAAATTGCAGCCCCGCAAGAAAGGAAAACAAAACAGCAGGAATTCACGTTAATGAAAACAGGAGCTTATTACATTCCCTTCCTCTACCTGGAGGCAGCTCTGGTGGCCTAGTGGGTAAGGAGCTGCACTGCCAACTCAGAGGTAGGTGGTTCAAATACACCCACTGCTTCTTGGGAAAAGGAGATGGGTCATCTCCCTCTATGTGATTTCTAGCCTCTGAAAATGCATTGCAGGGCCTGCCAGGGGTCTGTTTCAATTAGAAGACACATAACATCAACAATATCACTGAGGGAGGCCGAGTGGCAAGAAACTGCACTGCAATCCCAGAGGCATGCAGTTCAAATCCACCAGATGCTCTGCTGGAGAAGGAGGGACAATTTCCTCCTGTACCAGTTGTTGTCGTTACTGTTGTTACTGTTGTTGTTGTCATCAGTCAAGTCTCACTCACAACTTGTCATTGTTGTTGTTGTTGTTAGGTGTCATGAGTCATGTCTCACTCACAACAACCGTTGTCACATATGATGTGACAATACACACACACACAATAATAATTTTTTTAAATATTAAAAAAACAAAACAAAAACATCCTCTAAGTGGAGTTTAGCGTCAAGGACTCTCCTTCATAGGGTCGCTATGAGTCGCCTGCGACTCGACGGCACTTAACAACAACAACAACAACAAGTGGAGTTTAGCTGCCATTTCCTGAACTAATTAACGAGACACATCCGTCACTGTGTTTGCGTAGGTCGTAACCACGTGCAGGTGCGGGCACTGCCTGACCCTGACACGGTCCTTGTCCTCAGAAGGAAGTCTGGAATCAGCTGGCCCTGGACAGCCTCGGAGGGAAGCCCCTTCCCGTCTTAGTCCATGAGCATCTGCATAACACCATGCCCTCTGCCCTTCAGCACAGTCTCTTCATTGGCCCTGATCAGGCTGGGGCCTGGATCCACGATTAGGGGGAACACAATCGTGGATAGAGGTACAAACTGCACACTGGCTCCCAAGGGCTGCAGCCGAGCAAACGGCACCCAAGTCGCCTCCAAAGGGCCCAACAGTACCTTCTCATTTTGCTAACAACCCAAAGAGGCAGGTGCTCCAAGCAGCAACACCTGCGGTTCTCCAGGAAGCTCATCGCAGTCTCAACACAAAATCCCCGAGCTAGGAGCAACCATTGCCACGGTCAGAGGCAGAGACAGATCCTCATCCCAGCCCGAACACAAAATTCCATGCTCTAGGGGCTACCATCACCACGGCAGCTCCAGCACCGAGGAGAAATCCCAGGACCAGGGGGTGCCCCTCGAGATCTTGTTGTGGCTGTGAGCAGGGTACAAACGTATGCACAGGTAACACCCAGACGGGCCCCGTGACACACTCCAGCAATGCTGACAGTGTCAGGAACACAGCGTCTGCTGTCGCCTGTGGATGCATTCCACCTGAACCAGCAGCATTCAGTAACAAGTTTACACAGGAAAATGCACACCAGTGGGTCCAGTCCAGCACATACACATCCTAAACCCTAGGACCCTCAACAGATGCCACAGACACATCATTGTCACCACGTGCCCTCAAGTCAGAGCTTATAGCTGGCCCTCCGTCTTTATCCATATAGACGTATGTTGTTGTTGTTGTTATGTGCCATCGAGTTGCCTGCGATTCATAGTGACCCTACGTACAACAGCCCTAAACCCTGTTCTGTCCTGTACCAACCTCACTGTCTCTGACAAACCTAACCCATTACCCCAGTAACTGAATCATCCACCTCGTAGAGAGGGTCTTCCCCTCCTGTGCTGTCCGTCCACCCTCCCAAGAATGATGTCCCTCTCCAAGGACCGGTCCCTCCTTACAACATATCCGAAGTATGTTAGACGAAACCTCAGAATCCTTGTCTCCAAGGAGCCGCCCAGTTTAAAGTTCTCCAGGATGAACCTGTTCATTCTCTTAGTCCATGGTACTCTCAATACTCTTCTCCAGCACCACAGCTTAAAGGCATCAATTCTCCTTCTATCCTCCCTAGTCATTGTCCAGCTCTCTGATGCATAACAACATGTAGGTATTCAAAATCTTGCCATCAAGTCAATTCTTTTTTTTTTAATTAATTTAGTTTGTTTATTTTTCATTTCAATGAACATCTACAGAGATTTTGGAATTCCATTCATTCATTGTTGCACCCTTCTCCCCGCACAAACCCCGCCCCCCGTTTGCTCCTCTCCTTGAAAAGCAAAAG